AAGTTTGTGAAGAACTGTCTGCTATGGGAAGGACCCCATGCTGGAGCAGAAGAGTATGAGAAGTTGTCACCACTGAGGAGGAAGAAGAAATAGAGACAATGTGTGATGGGCTGACCACAACCCCCCTTCCCCATCTGCCTCTGCTGCTGGGAGGGAGAAGGCAGACAAAATTGGGAGTAAAGTTAAGCCCAGGAGGAAGGCCGGGGAGGCAGGAGGGAGGTGTTTTAAGAGTCGGTCTTATTTCTCATTATCCTTCTCTAGATTTGACTCATAATAAATTAAACTAATTTCCTAAAGGCAAGTCTGTTTTGCCCATGATGGTGAGTGATCTCTCCCTTTCCTCATCTCTCTTGTCCTCTTGCTCTTACTGAAATAAATTCCTCCCTCCCTCTCCTACAGGCAATGTAATTAGCAATGCATTTAAACGGAATCAGAATGTTTTCACAGAATGAACCTGATTTAAATACAGCCTTTTTTTCTGGCTCTTTATATGTAGCATTGTCATCATCAATTTATTATATTGTTCCTCTCTATAGACACGAGAGCAAACTGGTGTTTCATGACATTTACCTCGTGTTGTTGCTACCAGATCTCTTTACATGCATGGGCCCTATTAAAAAAATTCCTCTTTTTGCAACTCGGTACTAGTCCTCCATTAGTGCACATCAGATATTAAAATAAAGCTTTAGAGAGGTCTATCATGAAGCTCATGCACTTCATAACCTAGTTTATGGGCTGAAGCTGCACACACTGGGATTTTGCAAAGGGAGAGCAACCAGCTGCAAGTACCACTTAGCAAGTACACTTTTGAAGGGAAAAAGGCAGTTGCCTTCACTCCTGTGAGCCGATGAATGCATTTATGTAAAACCACCTGGAAAGGCCATGTTGAGTAACATGGACACAACACAGATGTCTTAGCAATTATATTGTAACTTCTTAAGTACAGGATCTTAACAGTCAGCCAAATAGCTACACTCATCAGCCTAGAATATGTTTAATGTAGTCTTCTGGAAGGCAGATTAGAAAAAACACAACTGTAGTGGAAGCTTTGTAGGCAGCTCATAAAGAACTAGAAATAACCTGATATCTTCTGCGTAAAACATACTTATCTAGTAAATATTTACATGTATGGTAGCTGTCTACTAATGCAAAAACTCACCTGGAAACATGTCAAGCTATCCTATTAATGGGTATTTGTCCAACACGAGAGAGCAACTGTGTCTAACTCAGATTTCCCTGCAGTCACACTGTTTTGAAGAACTCATATGTACCTACCTTCCTGTTCCTTAAAGTGCTGTTTCATTGACATACTGTGTCATCATAGCTTACCACACTACTTTTCTTGACATAAGCAGAAACTTGCAAAGGAATGAGCAGTAACATCATTGTAGGATCTAAATGTTAACTTCACAACTCTGAGGTAATTTCAAGAGGATACATATACGAAAGGAAGCAAAAGGAAGCAAAAGGAAATGCATAATTTATTATTTCCTGTATCAACTACTAATTTTCTTCTTGAATAGAGTCACCTGAATTTTGGCATCCAAATATGGACCTTCTGCAGTAAGCTTTTCACCTGCATGAACTACTTCAAATTTCATTTCCTTTATGCTATTACAGGAATAGCTGCTCAAGTGAAGTTTTGGGGCTTGAGGTTATTTTCAAATAATGAACGAATCTGAATTCATCCCAATCAAAACAAAATGCTGCAAGTCCTAAAAATACCAGTTAATTTTTATAATTTAATAGGCCACATATAGTCATTCAAGCATCTTATTCAATACTGTTATGTACAAAAACCACTGAAAATAAAAAAGACTTTAAAGGCTATCTTTCAAATGTAAAAGTGCATTTAACACAGGCAAAGTTTTTGGAAGAACATTACATTTCTATTAAATTCACTGGCTACACAGAGCCTAACAGGTATATTGCCTACACTACAGTGAATGATGGTTTTATTTTTTGTTAATTTTTAATAAGCCTGGTAGTTGATAAATAAAGTTGTACTGCCACCATAATTCTTGTACATACATCCAAAAAAACATGGCACAAATATTTTACTCATTTTCAGTTTTACTGACTTTAGGAAACATAAGCAGAGCAACAGTGAGATCTAAAAAGTTCAGAAAATAATTAACACCATAAAATCTTTTATCAAGTAAGTGTGCACAAAACAGATACCCTGAATTGCTTTCTCCAGAATTCGGATAGCTTTCCAGAGATGTCACTTACCCCCAATAAACATCCTTCCTTTACAGTACTGAACAGACTTTCTAGAATAAGATTTACATTTATTATCTAAGAAGGAGGCACTGGAGCAGAGATGTCCCTACAACCTATGGTGAAGACTACGACGAGGCAGGCTGTCCCCCTGCAGCCCAAGGAGGTCCACAGTGGAGTAGATACCCACCTACAGCCCCTGGAACACCCCATGCTGGAAGAGGTGGATGCCTGAAGGAGGCTGTAACCCTTTGGGAATCTGCACCAGAGCAGACTCCTGGCAGGACCTGTGGCTCTGTGGAGAGATAAACCCACACTGGAAAAGGTTTGCTGGCAGGACTTGTGACCCTATGGAGGACCTAGTCTGGAGCCGACTGTTCACGAAGAACTACACACCATGGAAGGGACCCACTCTGCAGCAGTTCAGAAAGAACTGCAGCCCATGGGAAGTACTTACATTGGAGAAGTTTGTGAAGAACTGTCTGCTATGGGAAGGACCCCATGCTGGAGCAGAAGAGTATGAGAAGTTGTCACCACTGAGGAGGAAGAAGAAATAGAGACAATGTGTGATGGGCTGACCACAACCCCCCTTCCCCATCTGCCTCTGCTGCTGGGAGGGAGAAGGCAGACAAAATTGGGAGTAAAGTTAAGCCCAGGAGGAAGGCCGGGGAGGCAGGAGGGAGGTGTTTTAAGAGTCGGTCTTATTTCTCATTATCCTTCTCTAGATTTGACTCATAATAAATTAAACTAATTTCCTAAAGGCAAGTCTGTTTTGCCCATGATGGTGAGTGATCTCTCCCTTTCCTCATCTCTCTTGTCCTCTTGCTCTTACTGAAATAAATTCCTCCCTCCCTCTCCTACAGGCAATGTAATTAGCAATGCATTTAAACGGAATCAGAATGTTTTCACAGAATGAACCTGATTTAAATACAGCCTTTTTTTCTGGCTCTTTATATGTAGCATTGTCATCATCAATTTATTATATTGTTCCTCTCTATAGACACGAGAGCAAACTGGTGTTTCATGACATTTACCTCGTGTTGTTGCTACCAGATCTCTTTACATGCATGGGCCCTATTAAAAAAATTCCTCTTTTTGCAACTCGGTACTAGTCCTCCATTAGTGCACATCAGATATTAAAATAAAGCTTTACAGAGGTCTATCATGAAGCTCATGCACTTCATAACCTAGTTTATGGGCTGAAGCTGCACACACTGGGATTTTGCAAAGGGAGAGCAACCAGCTGCAAGTACCACTTAGCAAGTACACTTTTGAAGGGAAAAAGGCAGTTGCCTTCACTCCTGTGAGCCGATGAATGCATTTATGTAAAACCACCTGGAAAGGCCATGTTGAGTAACATGGACACAACACAGATGTCTTAGCAATTATATTGTAACTTCTTAAGTACAGGATCTTAACAGTCAGCCAAATAGCTACACTCATCAGCCTAGAATATGTTTAATGTAGTCTTCTGGAAGGCAGATTAGAAAAAACACAACTGTAGTGGAAGCTTTGTAGGCAGCTCATAAAGAACTAGAAATAACCTGATATCTTCTGCGTAAAACATACTTATCTAGTAAATATTTACATGTATGGTAGCTGTCTACTAATGCAAAAACTCACCTGGAAACATGTCAAGCTATCCTATTAATGGGTATTTGTCCAACACGAGAGAGCAACTGTGTCTAACTCAGATTTCCCTGCAGTCACACTGTTTTGAAGAACTCATATGTACCTACCTTCCTGTTCCTTAAAGTGCTGTTTCATTGACATACTGTGTCATCATAGCTTACCACACTACTTTTCTTGACATAAGCAGAAACTTGCAAAGGAATGAGCAGTAACATCATTGTAGGATCTAAATGTTAACTTCACAACTCTGAGGTAATTTCAAGAGGATACATATACGAAAGGAAGCAAAAGGAAGCAAAAGGAAATGCATAATTTATTATTTCCTGTATCAACTACTAATTTTCTTCTTGAATAGAGTCACCTGAATTTTGGCATCCAAATATGGACCTTCTGCAGTAAGCTTTTCACCTGCATGAACTACTTCAAATTTCATTTCCTTTATGCTATTACAGGAATAGCTGCTCAAGTGAAGTTTTGGGGCTTGAGGTTATTTTCAAATAATGAACGAATCTGAATTCATCCCAATCAAAACAAAATGCTGCAAGTCCTAAAAATACCAGTTAATTTTTATAATTTAATAGGCCACATATAGTCATTCAAGCATCTTATTCAATACTGTTATGTACAAAAACCACTGAAAATAAAAAAGACTTTAAAGGCTATCTTTCAAATGTAAAAGTGCATTTAACACAGGCAAAGTTTTTGGAAGAACATTACATTTCTATTAAATTCACTGGCTACACAGAGCCTAACAGGTATATTGCCTACACTACAGTGAATGATGGTTTTATTTTTTGTTAATTTTTAATAAGCCTGGTAGTTGATAAATAAAGTTGTACTGCCACCATAATTCTTGTACATACATCCAAAAAAACATGGCACAAATATTTTACTCATTTTCAGTTTTACTGACTTTAGGAAACATAAGCAGAGCAACAGTGAGATCTAAAAAGTTCAGAAAATAATTAACACCATAAAATCTTTTATCAAGTAAGTGTGCACAAAACAGATACCCTGAATTGCTTTCTCCAGAATTCGGATAGCTTTCCAGAGATGTCACTTACCCCCAATAAACATCCTTCCTTTACAGTACTGAACAGACTTTCTAGAATAAGATTTACATTTATTATCTTTCATGCATTACATATTCACAATTTGGAAAGATATGGAAGGCCTTCATACATGTCAGCCTTTAATCTTAACCAGTCCTGAAGTCTCTGCAGAGCTGTTTTTTGTTGCGTTAATATTTTTGCAGCTTTTTTCAGTTTTTCTTCATTTCGTTCTAAGTAGCGGATTCCATCTGTCTGCAGCTGATTGAGTTTCTCTTTACGACTTTCATCCAGGGCTATGTCTTCATTCATAAGAGGGTTAAATCTGAAGTAAGTATTTGGAGGTAACAGTGCATCAAGCATGGTGTGAACTTCTGTATTTAAAACAGATGAAGAAAGCAGTTACTTTTTACACCAGACAGACAAATAACCCCACAGTCTCTGAACAACAAGTGCTCTGTAGTGACACAGTACGTGTAAATATGTACTGCTTTGCTGAGTAAATACTTTTCTACCATTGCCTTATCAAAAACCCTGTTCTCATCAGAAGGTTTTCAAATGACCCTGTAAGCTCTATTTACTCTGGAAAAGCTAAATCTTTTATTTTAAGACAACTTCCCTAGTATGACAATTAAGAAAGCTTTGCAGCTATGCAGGTTTTTAATTACATGTGCGTTCCATCCCTTTACAAGTGAGAGTGTGTGTTGCATGTTGAATTGTTTGCAACTAATTAATTTTTTATGTATTAGTAGAGCAAAATCCCTGCATATGCCTTTATCCTGAAGTAGAAGTAAAAACATATCACTTGGTATAAATCCAGTTGTATTATTTTAATTCTGATAAATTTTCAGTTATCTTTTATCTTTAGGATACTTATGTCATCAACCTCATATTAACAATGGAGAACTCAAACTAAAAGAGTGTAGCAACAACATAGTGAAGACGAAGCTTCATGGAGGTAAGGCTAAGAAACACATTCATATTATCATCTCCAGAAAATCTTTAGTAGTGGCACTAAAACACCAACTATACATCATGAGTTACAAAGAGACATGTTTCAATGGGGTGGGTAGAAAGGAGAAGGGGAATGATGAAAGGTTGCAGACTGCACTCTGAATTTGAACTGTAATTCTAAGAAACCCAAAACCCTGAAAATAGTCACAATACAAATATATCTTAAGACACCAACCTTCTGTATCAGTTGCACTGCTGATAACATTTGTGAGCTTGGCTTTCAAACTGGTGTATGTGACATTTGTCTTTCCCTCACTTTCATATCGACCAGTGCCCAGCGATACCAGACACTGCAATGGAACATCTGGCCAAAGACACTTGCACTCATGAACTGCCAGTGCAGAAGGGTTATTTAGAAGCAGACCTCCATCCTGAAAATTAAAAGTAAATACAAATGTTAGTACTATACATTACATATGGTAATAGAAGAAACTACAAGTATAAACTGAACAAGCATAGCACTAACATACAAAATCAATTAAATCAAACAAGCATTAAATTTCCATCTTCTGAGCAACTGTTCTGATTCTGTTACATGGCAGCTACAGAGAAAGGCTTCCTGGGCTCATGGACAGAGTTGGAGCAGCTCCTGGGCCTGTGGTCAGTTCTTCTATTGAGAGTATTGTATAGAAGAGATAGAGTAAAAGAGCTGCATTCACTAGAAGACTTCATATTCTGAAGACCTTTCGGTTAGCCAGATAAGCATATTGACAATTCCTTAATCAAAAAGTCTGCATCTCAAAATCATCATTACTGGCATTACAAAAATATATTCTATATCAAAATTCAAATTATGATCTGCAGGTTCTAAAACAATCTAACAATCTAAACAAAAAAATAAATCACAAGAGCTAAGCTTGGCCAAAGCTACTTTATAAGCACAGTCATTACATAGGATCCTATAGCCTGGATCTGAGATTTGGAAAATCACAGCACCATTTTGGTTGGACAAGACCTATGAGCTCATCTGGTCCAATCCCTTCGCTCAAGCAGGGTTAGCAGGGTACATCTTGCCTTTTCCATGTCTTTTGTTAACCAGCTACCCTGCCCCATTCAGTAGTAGGTTCACATTTTCCCTAGTCTTCCTTTTGTGATTTATGTTTTCATAGAATTCTTTGTTGTTGACCTTCATGTCCCTCTCAAGGTTGAACTCTAAGCTGGCTTTTGCTTTCCTAACCCCACCTCTGCAAGACTGGACAGGAATTCTACATTTCCTTTTAATGTCTGAGTTCAGTTGGGACCTTCTTGCTCATCTATGCCTGCAACCTTTGCTTGACTTCCTCCTTGTTGGGATGGTCCTTTCTTGAGCTTGGAGGAAGCGATCACTGAGTATCAGCCAGCTCTCCTGGACCCCTCCTCTCTTCAAGGCCATTGCCCATGGGATTCTTCCAAGCAGAGCTCCAAAGAGGATCAAGTCTGCTCTCCTGAAATCCAGGGCTGTAGTCCTGCTTTTTGCCCTGCTCCCTTCTCTTGGGATCTTGAACTCCATCATCTCATGACCACTGTAGCCAAAGCTTTCTTTAATTTTCATTATCCTGACCAGTTCTTCATTCTTCAAAAGCAGCAGGTCCAGCAAAGCACCTTTCCTTGTTGACTCCTCCATCATCCATGCCAGAAAGATGTTTTAATTAAAGCTGTGTAGTTTAGTTTTCAATCCAGCCAAGTCTCTCTCTTTTTCCCTCTCTCCTTCCCTACCTGGGTTGGGGGGAGGGGGGATCGAGAGCATTGTTGTCGGACCTGAGTCAAACTGTGACAACAATTTATTGGCGCCCAACGTGGGGCTCGAACCCATGACCCTGAGATTAAGAGTCTCATGCTCTACCGACTGAGCTAGCCGGCCATGGACAGAAGAGAAGGGGAGAAGAAGCAGGAAGGAAGTTGGCTTCTGTGATCTCTGACCTTCCTCTGAGCTTACGTAGATATATGGAATGGAATATCTTTGGCCAATTTTGCTGTCCATCTAACTCAGCCTCCTATGGGGGGGTCACAGATCTCCCCATAGTGTCTGAGCTGGCAGAGTGCAGGTGCAGCCTTGAAGCCTCAGTAGTTAGAAAAACATTCCACTGTCTTATCAGCCTAGCAGAACACACTGTTGCTAGTTACAAGAAAGCTTACTGAAGGAAAAAAAAAAATCAGTAGAAAGAAAAATTGGCTTCATCCTGGCTCAAACCAGGACACCTACACACTTGAAAAATCTCCTAGGTTGCTTGAGCTCTTCTGCACTGTCCTTTCATCAAGTGCCCCCAAGGACAAGGCCCTAGGAATGAACGTGAGGCTTCTTTAAGTCATCTCAAGATCAGAACTCAGTCCATGACTAGTAAGAACAAAGGCTACTCTTACAAGTCTGGAAGAGAGGAGAGACATCTTTTGCTATCAACATGTTAAAACCATAGGTGATGAAGCCTGGGATAAAATACCTTAGGGCTAGTAAGAATCATTATGACTGACAGGAAGTATGAGCAGCATTCAGACAATGAGATTTTGACCCAGCAAATCCCAAAAGCATGCTCAGCACTTCCTGGAAGTAAAATTACCTTCAGTCCAACTAAGAACACAAAATCCAAAGTAAAGTATTTCAAGAGGACTTTCTATATTGGGAATGTCTTAAAAAAAGCAGTTATAGAGGCAAAACTTAAGCTGAAATTACCAATAGCTGAGGCTAAGATCTTTATAGCCTTGCAAAATCTATGCAAATAAAACATGTAAAATATTAAATAAACAGAATATTGGCTATGATGAACACTATGCAAAAACCCCCTATATCCTAAAGCTCTGTGAACTCCCTATAACTCATATGTAACACTCACATTACAAAAACACTTTTAAAAAGCAAGTCTGCTCAGGAACAGCTTAGAAATAAAAAAGGTTTTGGAATTGATAAACATTTTACTGAAAAGTCTTTTAACTACAGCTGTGCTAGATAAATAAAAACAGGACTACTGAGCTGAATTTTCTGACTTTTTTTTTTTTTTTAGTTACGCTTTCATTTCAACCTACAAAAAGCTCTTTGAACTCCCTCAGGATACTGTTTGCTTTGCTCAAAACACTGCTAAAATGAGTAGTCTCTTCTTCAGTGCCTATTATCCTTTGCTTATGTTTAAATTAGCTTTTAAAGAGAAAACTAAATACAAGGATGCTTTTGTCCTTGATATAATTCCCCATGAATCTTAATCTAAAATCTTAATAGTTATCTTTGTGGGGCTTATTTTTTTCTTTAAACCCTACATTAAAAATAGGCTTACCAAATAAATTTCCCTGATCTTGTCAATATAATTTAATTAAACATGACTGCTTCACCCTGGATGAAGGAAGTAGGTAGCCCCCCAATACCGGCCCATGACAGACACCCAATTACAAGGCACTGAAAAATTGGAATATGTGAAGAACCACTCAGATGGTTTGAGAACTGAAACACATAACATATGAGAAGAGGTGCAGGGAACTGAGTTTGCTTAACCTGGCAAAAGAAAGCCAAGGAGGAATCTAATCACAGTCTTCCACTACCTGAAGGGAGAGAAGACATAGTCAAACTCTCAAAAAGTGCAGAATAAGAGCCAGAGAAGCTGTGAAATCTCCATCCTTGGATATTTCCAAAACTCAGCTGGGCAACCTTGAGCAACCTGACCTAACTTGGAGGCTGGGCCTAAATCCTGGAGGCTGGACCAGTTGAACACCCAATGCCGTGTCCTCCTCCAGTTTTCCTAAGGTTCTACCTGATAAATACTGTATGAATCATAGATGCATGTTATTTTAGCTGTAAAATGAAATTACATTTAAAAGCCATTCTTATTAGAAATTGAATTTTGTCAGTCCAGCCTAAGTCTTGTGGGAAATGCAAACATGCTTTTTCCATATGCAACTTGTACCTTGCAATGTGTAACTGAAAGGGTAACTTACAGGAACTCTTCAAAATTACTAAACTGCTAACCAAGGTCCACAAAAATGTGCAATTTACTGGAGTTCTGGCTCAGGACTCAGTGTTGGGAAAACATTCAGAGCAGACCCCTCATCCTCTCTGTTTTCCAAATGGCTGTGGAGTACTTGCTGGCCTCTCATACATTTCACCATCTCTATTCATTTAGCTAGTTCTCAATCCAATTGCAAACTTTCTTTTTCACATCCCAAACATATATGAGTCAACCCTTCCCTTTTGTGTTCTTCTGTGCCGCTACAGTCAGTGCACTGGCAAGTACCAGATGTTTCTTCCTATGCTGAACTTCGCAAAACTACTACACACTTAAGTCAACTTCATTTGCTGGCAGTACACCAAACACAGAGTGCTATAGTAGGAATGTTAATGCACGGAGGTGTTGAAAAAGGGTGTATAACTCCTGAAGTCATCATGCAGGTAAACAGTAGGGAAGATGATTTAAAAAATAAATAAATTCCAATAAATAAATAAATTAATCTTAAAATGGAACTTAATACATATAAACCCAAGCTTGTCAGTGATAGCAAAGCAGGGAACTCAGGGACTCCATGAAAGTCTTCCAAGTGGCAAATACTCAATGATTGTATTTTCTTTAGTATTTTATCAACTAACTCAATGAAAATCTTTTACACACAAACTTTTAAAAAAAGTCATATTTTGAGGGCTTGCTGGTCACTAGCCAGAAGTCTAAAGCTGTAGCTGATTTCTCAAAAGTTTTCTGATAGTTGGAAAACAACCAGGAAAGGCTCCCTCATGATTTGACTACCAGACCATAAATTATTTACAACATGAAAAATGCACCTTTTGTAGGCATAAGCTCCAAAGAAAACTTGTGAGTAAAGATACCTGCTTGACCAGTTTCAGGAGTAAAGAAAGACCTGGTTAAACATTATGAAACAGATGGGGCAAATTCTGCAATCAGAAAGAAATTACAACCAAAAGTGTCAAAGAAAGTGCTCCAAACCACTTGTGAGCACAGAAGCTTCTGAAAATCTTGTCCCATTTAAATAATTATGGGGAACACGCATAAAGTCACCGCTCAGATATTTAAGTCAATAATTTGGTAACAGTTATTTAAAATTAACATATTAATATAGAAAATCAGTTTGAACCATACTTCACCACAGGCAGATGTTTCTAACAAGTTCAGAATACATTCATATGCTGTCATTGCTTTTCCTAATTTTTTTCAGTCAAGTTTGCCTTATAATTGTTCTGTGTAAAATCCTGTGTGGCACACAATTTCACTTAAATGATGCTAAACTTTGTTAAGAAAATAATCTAGCACTGGATGAAGGATGTATAACTTCAGAAAGCCAAGTTTGATATTTGGAAGCTGACTTTGTTGGCTCCATAGTAACCACTTCACCTCACTGCCTATGCAGACATGCTTTGCATTTTAGTTCACTTTTACAGACTTGCTCTGTTGTTTACTTTCAT